AAAATGTTTATGTTAATAGGAACGAAAAATTGTGAGAGAATTTTGTTTTTTTTTTTTTTTTTGTTCAAGGAAATATTATATTCTTGCATGATAATCATCGAATAGATATCATTATATTTTCATATCTTCATATAGGATATATTAATAAGATAAATTGTATATAATTAAGTAATATTATAGAAATGTATCTTAACCGAATGATCTTACTATTATTGTCGAGTGAATAATACTGTTATCGTTTTATTTGCTTTGCACTTTCACGTTTTTTTTTTAACGTTTAATTTAATCTTAATCATTTAATCAAAAAATTTTAAAGATTATAAGAAAACACAAAAAAAAAGAAAAAAAAAAGGAAAACCAAAAAAAAAAACAAAAGAAAAGAAAAAAGATTGCAATTATTACTTTGTCTTTATTCATCTCAATTCCAAATGAATATTTTTTGTGAACAATTTAAAAGTAAGAGATCACGCCGAGCAGAATATCAAAGCAATTGTTTTTTCCTAAGATTTAGTAATAAAAATTAATATTAATATACTATAAGAAATAATAATATAGTTATTTTAGATTAGTTGTAAAGTTTTATAACGACGATCATTATTTTACATTAGTTATAAAAAATGATCCAAAATCAAATTAGTTTTAAATACGCGAGAATTCACAATTGCCTTATCGCATAGTGTTTGGAGCAATAACATAATGTTAAGATGATTATTGTAAATAACACGATCTCGCGATAAAATAGTGATGTATTGTTTTTATTAGAATTAACCAAAGATTGGGATTTTTCTTATCTTTTCTTTTCTCTTTTTTCCTTTTTTCTTTTTTTCCCCTCCCCACGTAAAGTTTTATCGTAGAAGGAAGTAAATATAATGGAAATAGTTAACCAATGTATTAATGAAACTTCTGCTAACGATAGATAATGTTTGTATGTAGTATATAAAAGTAAACTATATACCTCGTTACGTAATCGAGATCTTCAATAAATAATTAAATAAATCTTTGCAAGATAACACTGTAAATACATACATACCGTTTTCCCGTACTATGAAATCTCAAGTTAATGTGTATTTTCATTACATTTTTTATAGACTTTGTAGTAGTTCTGATTAAACTGTGTCATCACATAATTGAATTTATATAAACATTTAATCTATTTGTAATAATGATCTTTCTTAAAGTGCATTATACAATACGATTGATGTTGATCATACTTGTAATATCTTTTTTTTTTCGACTGCATTTTTCAACTTAATATTTTTCAATGAAAAATTTAATATCGCAATTAAACGTTGTTACAATTCCCTTGTCACACACACACACATACATACGCACACATATACACAACATAGTCTCTCTTTTTCTCACTACAACACACACACACAAACACACACATTTTTGTATACGAAGTAAGAAATTCTCAGGTGACAATTTAAACGCCGCCGTGTGTAGGTTCGACCAAGCATAAATTATGATAAGAGTTATGATAAGTAGGGCCGTGATATCCCGCGATAGTATCTTGTTTGCACATCCGAAAGAATCGATCGAATTCTTTCGTATTTTATATATTTTTTTTTCTTTTTTAATAATTTAAAATTAGCAATTTGTAAAATATTTTACTATGATAAGAATTTTATACATATATATGTATATATATATATATATATATATATATATATATATATATATATATATATGTATAAATAAATAATGTATCTATTTGTACGTTGCAATTTTTAATCAAATAAGACGTAATATAACGTAGGAAGGAAGAAAAATTATCGAGAGAAATTTTGACGGTATAGATCAAATCGAATAATAAAAATATGAAAAAAATCAACATTATCCTTAGATTTTTCCGATCGTTTAGGATGGTTAAAAGTAAATGTAAATATGTATCATAGATATATCATCTTTATATTTGATTATTTCGATCGTTCGTTATAAAATTGATGAGTCTTACAATATTATATAGATACATACGGGGCCATTGTTTTGATTAGCAGAACGTTTACGTTCGTTTCTCCTTATGCCGTTAATCGTGGTAGTTCTTACTCATTTCCTTGGTCGTTTCGTTCGAGATGATCGAATGTTTTTCCAATGTCGTATCTCGTATACGTATAGGGCGTTCTAAGTGTTGTGATTAGCCAGACACGGAAGGTGTTATTCTTGCGTATGGATCTCTGTTTTTGCGTGCTGCTCAACCTCCCACGAAGATCCGTCTGAAACAGTAAAAGGTATCTCGATAGTCTCGATAACAAGGTAGTAAGAAAACATTATTTCGACATCAAGATCCAAAGTAGCTAAGGGAAAGCACAACGCGTTCTTTTCTATCTAACGCTAAGATTCTTTGTGTGTTTCTACTTTTAGATATTCTATTTATCAGGTAACGTAAACGATCGGAAATTTTATTCTTAGAAAAATTTTCTCACTTGTTACATTACATTGAAAATGTTGTTTTTATATCATCGTCTTAAATCGAATGACTTGTTAATGCAAATTTATTATCTTCTTTATTATTTAATTTAAAATTAGAAAGTATCTTAGATAAGGATGATTAAAAAAATTATAATTAAGAATAACACTTTCCTATACATTTTTGTTTCTAATTTGATTAATTTGTAAATTTGATATTCTGAGTGGATCAATGATAATAAATAAACATTGTACTTTCGTCGTAGTGATAATCAAGGATTTTCATGGATTTGGATTATAGTCCCTTATCGTCCCTTTTTCACTTTCATCGTCATCTGTTGTAGATAGATCTACAAAAAAAAATTTAGGTAAGTATATACCTTTCTTAGGAACCTTCGAAGGTTTCGAGCGAAAAGTGCCGCAGTCATAAATCGATTATGATTTTATGGTGGCGGCATTCAGGACAGTAAAGTTTTTCGTTTGCACGTGCTACAACTGCGAACCTTTGTTCTTCCTATCTTGAACAATGAATTGGTTGCGATACCTGGTGCGCAGGTACTCTTGTACATTTTTATGGCGATTATAGCGGTAACACTTAGTGTGAGAAAGAAAAAGAAAGAAATATATCGAGGGAAAGAAAGAAAGAGAAAGAGAAAGAGAGAGAGAGAGAGAGAGAGAGAGAGAGAAAGAAAGAGAGAGAGAGAGAGCTCAAAAGTTTAATAAATATCAAGAAGATGTAATAAGAAATATTATAGGGTTTTTTTTTCTTATTGAAGAAGACTTGATAAAAAAAAAAAAAAAAAAAAAAAAAGGAAGAAGAAAAAGAAGAAAAAAAGGAAGAGAAAAGAAACAGTTAAAAGAATCATAATTACATGGAAAAATAATGAGGATATTTGTTAACGCTTCAAGTAATAATGCCCATTTCCGGTTACATATAACTTACACTACCAAAATACTAGATATTAAGTAGTCTGTAATATTAATAAAAATTGAAAATTATACACAAGCCCACACAACGTTACCTTCTCTCCTATGTGCATTTAACGAATGCCACGATCGATATCCCATGGAGAAGCTAACTCGTGGGAGTAACTCAGGTTCTCGGATAATTGAAACTCGTCGGTGAACTTTACGAGTCATCGCAAGAGCACGTTACTGTTCGAGAGAGAAAGAAATAGAGAGAGAGAGAGAGAGAGAGGGAGAGAGAGAGAGAGAGAGAGAGAGGGTTGAAATTATTAAAATTGACTTGGTCGTAGGGTGACGTATGTAGAGGGAGAGAATGCATGGACTAAAAATCGCCGCTAATTTCTGCCTTTTGATCCGTGGACTCATCCACCACCTGCCCTCGGACTACCTTTAACGTCCCTTATCGATCGTCAAGCCTGACGAATTTTCCTTTACCTATATATATATGATGTATACCTATAGATGGATATGTGTATATATATATATACACATGTGTGTGTGTATGTATGTATGTCTATACGCGTAGAAAAGTTAACCTGGCCAAAACTAATCCGTATTAAGATCAGGAACGAGCGAAGGTCGTTCGATCGTTAAAAAAAAAAGAATTTTCTTTCTTTTTTTCTTTTTCTTTTTGACGTTGGAAAAATTCAATTCAGAGTGGAACGGTACGAAAGAGGCGAAAGTCAATGCTTTCGTATCTTTCCTTTATTTTTCTTTTTTCTTTCTTCTCTCTCATTTTTTTTTTCTTTTTTTTTTCTTTTCTTTTTTTTTTGCTTCTTCCTCTTCTTCTTTTTCTTCTTTCATTTCTTCCTCCCTTTCTTTTCTTTTTTCATTTCTCTTTCTCTTCCTGTTTTTCCTTGTTTTATTTCTACCTTTTTTTCTTTTTCTCCTTTTTCTCCTTTTTCTTTTTTCTTTTTTTATCCGGCACGAGAGATAGGCTGCTTACAACTTTTACCTTTTACAACGTTTACACGGAAACGGTGAAACGGAAATTTAACGAGAGAACGGCGGATAGAAAGAGGGGTGGGGTGCGGAGGGCCAGGGGGGTTAGAGGGGGAGAAAGGAGGGGAAGGAGAAAGAGGAGGAGGTGGAGGAGGAAGAGGAAAGGGAGAGGGAGCTGGGCTCTTGTTTGCACAATCGATCCCCCCGACCGTACGTGCTTTTACATGTACTGAAAGAGCTTCCTTTCTAGTCGGAGAACGGTGAAAAAAAACGAGAGAAAGAGAGAGAGAGAGAGAGAGAGAGAGAGAGAGAGAGAAGTAAAAGAAAAGTAAAAGAAAAGTAAAAGAAAAGAAAAAAAGAAGAGGGTCTCCTCTTTCCTCTCTTACACTCCACCCCCTTCCAACTTCCCCTCACCTTTTTCCAAGCACGACGAGGCTCTTCGCGACATTTTACATTTGCTCTCTCATTTTGTATCTTGGCGTTCGCGCCACGGCGTGCCTAACTCTCTGACGCCCGTTCGTTCGTCACTTTTCTTCGCTTATATCCACGTACTAACCTATGCGATATTGCGGCACGGAGATTAAGGAAAAAAAGATCAAAAGTATGAAAAAAGAAAAGAAAAAATAAAAAAAAGAGAGAGGGAGAGAGAGAGAAGAGGAAATAGATATATGGTATTTTTCCTCTTAGTCAGTGAATCACTATTATACTTCGATGCCAAATAAAAGATTATTTGATTTAACGCGTATAAACATTCGAAAGTTCTTTTACGAAGGCAAAGTTCGAGGAAAAAAAAAACGAAGAAAGAGAGAGAAAAGAAAAGAAGAGAGAGAGAGAGAGACAGAGAAAAAGAAAAAAAAATTTATTTCTAGTTCTATTTTCAAATTTTTTTATCGTGAAATTCGTAAATACAAAGAGGAAAGAAAGTCATTTAGAACGAAGGAAAAGTTTCTTCATTATTTGAGCTAATCAGGTTGAAATCATATCAATGATATATTCTTCTCTTGTGTTCTCATTCTAATGATAGCTGCTGATATGTATGATAGAAAATATAATGCGATACCGCATTTAGTTCACTGGGTTGTTAGATAATTTTAAATACATACAATCCATATTGTTCGAGTTTTATGATGAATCACATAAACGAAATCATTATTCATTGTCATTGTAGTAAGAGATAATGAGAAGGGAACGGGAATAGTAAGAAAATTTGTGGGAACGTGTCAAGAAAACAAATTGAAATGTCGGATAAGGGCAGTTCGTCTTTCGAGTCATTTAAAAAAAAAAAAAGAAAAAGAAAGAAAAAAAAAAAAGAAAACAAAAAAGAAAAATTTAGATGAAAAAGACAAAAAAATGAAATGAAAAAGAAAAAAAAAACAAAAAAAAAAAGAATTAAACAGGAAGGACCACGATAGGCAAGATAGATATTTCGTGCGTGTGCTTTATCGTGACGGAGTTACTGCAGACGCAAGCCAGACACGTGCTGTGCGTGCTTCGTTGTGCTTTTCTCAGATTTGCGAGGGCCAAATCATCGGATGGGCTCTATCGGCCCGTCGGAGGGTCGTTGAGGCCACCCCTTTTATCTTTTTCTCTTTCTCTGTCTCTCTCTCTCTCTCTTTCTCTCTCTTTTTTTTCTCTCTCTTTCTGTCGATCGAGAAACGCAAAAATAATAGACTCGTCGCACGTTCCTTTTCTTCCTCTCCTTATTTTTTGTATCTTTTTTTCTTCTTTTCTTTCTTCCATCTTTTGTCTCTATTTTTTTCCTTTTTTTTTTTTTTCCTTTTTATCAGATAAGTACATAATGACGTTCAAGAGTTCGTTTACAATTAGATAACTATTGTTACTCATTGTTCTTCTTCTTCTTTTTTTTTCTTTTTCTTTTTGTTTTATCTCCTTTCTTTGAAATTTATTCATTAATATGTAAGTACCTTAGCAATTATCTTCTCGAATGTCTATATGGTACTATAAGAAAATTTTTTTTTAAATATTTTGGGTTTTTCCTGTCCGATAGGATAATGAAAATTAGTGATCTTTTTTGTTTCTTTTCAAGTTTTCGAATCCATCTATGTCACATCTTAGGCACGATTTTCTCTCTTTTCCCTTTTTCCTGCAGTGTGTTGTGACGATGATTTCGATGGTGTTAAACCAGGGATAAACGTGGCGATTTAGATGGATTTTACAATGGTTTAACAGCCATTGATCAAATTAGAAACCATCTGGTACAGATGGTTTGGAAGAGACTTGGCCATAGTTATTGTCTTGCGACTGTGCACAAGTGTTCTACATGGAAATCGGATTTATACATTTTCTAGGATTATATTTTTTTTATTCTGAAGATATCAGAATAAATATTTTATTTTAGCCAATTAAATAATTAGAATGGGTATGAAAATTTTGTAAAATTAAAATCTATCCATTAATATAATTAAGAAATAACAAATCAAGTTGAAATTATATTTTCAAATTATTTACACGTTCAATACAAATTTATATAATTAAATGTTATATATAATAATTAACTTTTATATATGCGTGTTTAACAATTATAAATATATAATAACTTAAAAGTAATTAATATAAATGGAAAGAAATTATTTAATATCGTGACATAAATCAAACATTCTATAATGATAATAATAATAATAATAATAATAATAATAATAATAATAATAATCGAAGTATAATTATATAATATTGCAAAACGTATGTAGATTTTTCTTATCTTTCTTTTTTTTTTTATATTTTACCCGCAAAATATTATTTTTGTATTCTAGCACGTTCTTTTCACTGTTAGTAAAAGCTGTAAATCCGTTTTGAATCAGGTTGGTGTTAAAAAAATAGCCCTTTGAAATTTAACGCGAAAGAATGGACCAAAACGTCCAACATGTCTACCTGTCGTGTTATCGCTAAGGTTTGCTCGACTTTGGCCTTTGGGTACTAGCGATTCTTTAGGATTTGTTGTTTTAACGTCTGTGGAACAACAAAGCAAGAGGTACCGTCAAGAAGTCAATGTTTCGCGTGAAGGAAAATCAGGTGCGTCCACTTTTGGGTCACGTTCGAAAAGCACGTAACACTGTCGTTTTCGTAAAAGAGAATTTTCGAAAAAATAATTTGAGCTCACGGTTAGTTGTTATCACGTGTCATGGCATAAATTATATTTTCGAAAGATTATTTATTGGGAGAACGTTGGTACAGGTTTAACCATAAAGATATAAATAGTATCTACATTCTTTATTAGTATAATTTTTTCATTTTTCTTCACGTCACTCTATGAAAATATCAAAATGAAACGAACCATATAGATAGGTCTATTATATTCGATGAAAAAATAAAAATAAAAAGAAGAAGAAGAAGAAGAAGAAAAAGAAGAAGAAGAAGAAGAAGAAGAAGAAAAAGGGGAAAAGAAAAAAAAATTATCCTACAAAAGAAGGTATAGTTTCCTTGTGCGATGACGGGTTATCATTCGTGTTAATAATACAAAGAAAAAGGATGAGACCACCCACGTGGACCAGGTAGAGTCCTTTGAAAGTTCACGAGCTACCGTCGCTTCGGATCGTCGGATCGTCGTCCGGTCTCTCTCGTGTCGTCTCTTTTGTATTTGTTTTTAAAATGACGAAACACTTTTCTTTTCTTTTTCTTTTTTTTTTTTTATTCATCTTTCTTTTTGTTTTGTTTTTATATTGGTCAACCATCAAGAAGTAGGTAACCTTTTTCCTTTTTTTTTCTTTTTCTTCTTTCTCTTTTTTTTTCTTTCTTTCTTTTTTTTTTTTTTTTTTTTTTTAATAATTCATCGGTTTTCGATAATCCAAAGTATCGAAATCTTATAATAAATTCTTCATTCTTGGGAATGATTGCTTAAGGTGATCAGTATGTTAAAATTAACAATAGATATATGTATAAGACGATGGAGAAAATGAGATCGAATTGGGATATCTATATACGTACATATATCGTTTAGAAAGATCACCCATAGGAAACGGAAAAACGCAAACGCGCAAAACATTGTCGCGGGGTTTAATCGTATCCATGTTTAAAAGGGGCCGTTTGACAAATCGATCGAGTCCGCGATATCCGTAATCTAGGTCAAATAGCAAATCGTTATTTAATCGTAGATTAAGGACCGAGACTAACCGAGACAAACAGATCTCGATTGCGCACTTGTATCCAGACGGGACGAGGCACGAGGGGTACGATTTGTTATAACGTAGAATGCTTTGCCCGGCACATTGTAGCTACTTGTTTACAGGGACAATATTTTCATTCCGCAAACAATTCGTGGCTCGATAAAGACCCGGTACAGGTGGGTGCTTGGATCTAACGTTGTAACGTGCAGCTCGTTCGTGAATGCTTCTATACCTATACTATGCGTGTTTACGAATCTCTCGAGTAAAGTATTAGCCGACTCTAAACGCTCGAATCATCGAGTTGTGTGCCTTCAATTCGTCGCTCGACTTTCAAACGATACCTATTTCCTTCTTTCAACGGTAGTCATTGCGTGATATCGTAAGTAAAGTAAGTATATTAGATATGTCGACACCCTACCTACCTTACTATCAAAGAAATAAAGTCAACCTCGTTTTCATATCCTAAAGTAAGAATAATTTAATTATGCTAATTAATGAACAATATCGTATTTGTTCTCAAATATCGAGTAGACAGGTAGGTAGATAAAATATATATAAGCTTAAAAATACATAATAATTTTTCTTTTCCTCGTAATAACACGAACGTAAGTTTAAAAACATATCTAATTATTAATGCACTTTAATGAAAGAATAAAGAGATGATAAAAGCGGACAAGAATCACAACAATAACATCAACAATAACAATAATAATGATAATAATGATAATAATAATATATGAGATCTTTGTGAAGATTGCACGAAAATTACAAGTGAATTTGCAGATACCTATAAATGAATGTAAAAATAGATTCTATGTAATATCTAATATCATGTAAATGGCATGTAAAATAATAAAACGAGGATTTGGTATTAATGCAAGTAGAATAGCTGTGCATGAGATTTTAAATTTAAAAATAAAGAAAAAAATATAAACAGATAAGACAAAACAATAGCCAATAGACGAAACGAATCTTTATGATGGAATAATCTATGAGTTTTATGACATTTTAAATATCAAACAACCTCAAGAGAGCAAATACACATTTAAGTAACTATACGCATTTGCTTCGTATCAAGAAATATTATATGTACTTACATAATTATTATAGATTAATAGGAAAGAGAAAGGGAACAACAAAAAATGATCGACGCCGATCATCAATGACCGGTTTAATTAATTTATTCATATTGTTAATGTATTTTTTGTCAGGCTAATATGTCAAATAAATCAATTCTTTCTAATTAATTATTCAGCCTCAAAATTAAGAAATATATGATCGTCAAATTGTTTTATAAATGTATACTTCTTCGACAAACTCATAGCTAAATTCTGCGATGTTTTTCTTTTTTTTGTTCGTTTTGATTACTTTAGATGTTTAAACTAATCATAATTGATTTTAGATAATTTATTATTTAATCTTGAATCAGTATAATTTTAAGACTAATAATAAAACTAATTACATTGGACGATTAATTCTTTGTATTTCTGAATGAAAATAAATGTGAGTAAACATTAAGAATGTATTTACGTATAAAAAAAAAAGACAATTTTAAAGATCAAAAACAAAGCTTCGTAACTTATCGACCGATCTTGCGTTCGAATATGTATGTAACTGATCTACGACAAGATCAAGTCATTGTACGAATAATAGCGAGCTTGAAAAAAAACATGCGAGAAAAATTTGTGAAAGAAAGATAAGTTCGATTAAAAAAACTAACAAGGAAAAGAAGCAAACTTATCTAATACTTAGGATTATTTACCTCGTTCCATTGGAGAAGAAGGAATGTAAGATCGTTACGAAGAGATGCTTCCATAATAGTCCTCACCAATTAAAAATTGTCCTTGTTCGCACCACCAAAAGGAAATGAGGAAAAAAGTCACAGCACGGAAGAGATACACATTAGAAAACGAACAAACAAACAAACAAACAAACAAACAAACAAACGAACAAACAAATAAAAGAAACATCGAAAGGATTTGTAACGACAAGAGAACAAAATTACGATGAGGGGTGAAAGAGGATGATGAAGAAGAAGTAGAAGAAGAAGAAGAAGAAGAAGAAGAAGAAGAAGTTGAACATCGTGTGTTCGTACTAAAAAGTTGACGAATAAGGGGAGTTAAAAAAATTGTTGCTGAAAAGGAAAGAAATAGGAAACGACGATTAGAAAGAAAGGTCGGGGACGAGCGATAGGTGTAAAAACGCGTGGCGGATCGGTCGACGCGAGGACGATAAGAAAGAGAGAAAAGAGAAGAAGAAGAGAGGAAAGAGGGATGAGGCAGGGAGAAAGAGGAAGAGAAAGAAAGAACGAAAGAAAGAACGTGTATGTGTATATGTATGTGTGTGTGAGAGAGAGAGAGAAAGAGAGAGAGAGAGTGAGAGAGAAAGAGAGAGAGAGAGAGAGAGAGAGAGAGAGAGAGAGAGAGAGAAAGAGAAAGAAAGAAAGAGGAAGAGAGAGATGAAAGCAGAAACGAACGCGAGAACGTGGCCGGCGTCGTGGCCGCAGCCGTCCCGACGCTCGACCCGACGCCGGACCCGTCGACGGCGGCGCTTATCGGCCAAGAGAGAGGAGAGAGATTGCGCAAGCGGCCTTCGTGCGACTTCGAAGAAGTTCGAAGATACGGCGCTTGCGCTGGAAAGAGAAAGAGAAAGGAGAAGATAAACAGAGAGAAAGAGAGAGAAACAGAGAGAAAGAGAGAAAGAGAGAGAGAGAGAGGGAGAGAGAGAGAGAGAGAGAGAGAAGTCCTGTCGCGGCCACGATTCATCGCATCTCGAAACTCCGTGATACGGCCACGCCACCGGTAGAAGAGTCGAGAGAGTCCGATTGGTTGGTTAATACCAACGGTGGGATCAGGAAGGTACCCATTGGTTCGTATAGAATGTTCGGGCGCGGCGCCATGTTGCATAGAGTGGGGTGTATTTGAACAAGACTCGGCGACTCAAGAGTAGCGGAGAACACTCGCTAACCGGCCTCCATCCACACGGCACACAGAGGTAGAATAGTGTAGAGGTGAGGTGGCTCCAAACAGGCCCCGTTCAAACAACCGAGCGCGCTTCTACGCGACAAACGGTGCTGGTGTCGCCGCCACCATCGTTGTCGTCGTCGACGTCGTCGACGTCGTCGCCGTCGTGTCGTTGTTGTTGTTGTTGTTGTTGTTGTCGTCGTCCTCGTCGTCGTCGTCATCGTCGTTGTCGGCGACATTCGCGAAAGTGCCGTGGCCTCTTCTCTAACTACGATCATCGTGTCATTTGTTGGAACAACAATTACACTACCCCAACATACCACCGAGGAGGACAGGGCAGCGTGCGCGCGTGAACACAACTTACGTGTCATCGAGTGTCGTCCTTCGTGCCGGCCCGACGGACGTCGTACATGCATTGTTTCGCTTAAGGAGAACACAGTGCACGTATAGGGAATAAATATAGGTCGTGAATGAAGGTCGATCATTAGTTTTTGGAATTTCTCACTGAAACTACGGTGAACTGTATAATAGGAGGCGTGTGAGGACACGAGGATAAGATCCTAGTGTTGATAAGAAAATTTTGTGAATTGTTGAGTGTAATATTAAGGAATAAGGACAAAGAGAAAAAGATAGGGATAACGACAGAGATAGAAATATAGAAAGAAATTCAATCGAAAAGAACAGAGTGAAGGTGCCGCGTGATCGAGATACTTCAAGGAAGAACCTTTATCGTTACCGTGATTCAGTGAGACGTGAGGATTAAAGTGAAGGAAGTACGGGCGGATATAAGATTAAGGGGTCACCGGATTATCAGCAGTCGTGGTACCGTGGCTTTCATGATTCCCGCTTGACGTCTCGACAGCAGCCCACCCCGGCACCGGTGAGCTCTATGACCATGCTCCAGTCGCAAAAGCTGTACAGCGAGGCTGGTAGTCTCGGTGGTGCCATGACCAGCGCCGCGATGTCCAGTATGGGCAGCATGGCACCCACGTACAGCTCGATAAATTCGATGGGTTGCGTGTCTATGGGGATGTCGATGGGCGTTGGAGTCGGCCCGAGTTGCAGTCCTCAGGGAGCCGGTGGATTCAATATGAGCACGATGAGCTCGGCAATGGGGATGGCTTCGATGGGTGGTGGTGGCATGGGTGGTTATGGAGGTACATCGATGGGCGGTGGTGGCGCTTGCATGAGCGCCGTGGGTTATGGTCCGTTAACGCCAGGCGGTGGTACCGCTGTAACCAGAGATCCTTTGTCGTTAACCGAACCAGACTCTCCGAATTCTGCCCTTCAACGTGCACGTACCGATAAATCTTATCGGCGAAGTTACACGCACGCAAAACCGCCTTACTCCTATATTAGTTTGATCACGATGGCGATACAAAACGCGCCAACCAAAATGCTCACACTTTCGGAGATTTATCAATTTATTATGGATCTATTCCCGTTTTATCGGCAGAATCAGCAACGATGGCAAAATTCGATAAGACATTCCCTTAGTTTCAATGATTGCTTCGTTAAAGTACCGCGAACACCTGATAAACCGGGTAAAGGTTCCTTTTGGACGCTGCATCCGGAGAGCGGTAATATGTTCGAAAATGGTTGTTATTTGCGTCGTCAAAAGAGGTTCAAAGACGAAAAGAAAGAATTGACGAGGCAGAATAACAAACATCAACAGCACCAACAGCATCACTCGGGTGCTGCGGCCGCGGCTGCTGCCGCCGCTGCTGCTGCAGCAGCCGCCGCCGCTGGTCATAATAGTCCGAATTCTCATGATCTTGGTCATGGCGGTAAGAAGACACCCTCGTCCCTTCATCATGCCCCTCAGCAACAGGACGACAAAGACCTTCACTCTTTGGTCTCGACTCATCATCATCATCACTCGGCTGGGCTTCATCAGCATCATGCTGCTCTTAAAAGTGACACCACCGATATCGGTGGATTGTTAGGACCAGATCTCGGTACGGCACATGACGAACTAACTGCCATGGTCAGTCGTACACTTCATCCTCACTTGCTATCCGATCCGGCGGCTCTTCATCATGGTATGGCAGGGAGCCTAAAACAAGAGCCACCTTATACGGCTGCCAGTCATCCATTTAGCATTACCAGGTTATTACCTGGCGCAACGGCAGGTACGTCGCCAGGTGCCCAAGATACGAAGCCACCGGAGATGAAGATGTATGAACAGCTTCATCAGAGCTACGCGAATTTCGGCTCACCTCATCACCCCCATGCACATTCCGCCCCGCCAAGTCATCATCATCATAATGGAATGCACGCTGGCTCGAATACCGCTGGAGGACCCATGCACAATATGAGTAATCATCATCATCAAGAATATTACCAGAGTCCTTTGTACCATCACGCGACAAGCGTGGCTACCAGCAGTGCGCCTCCTCCTCCGTCGGTCGCCACAGCGGCTCCAGGATTGTGACATCACGCTACTCACCCCTACGCCTTGGCTTGAGTCGCTGCCGTTGCGGTCTATGCCGCTTCTGCTGCTTCCGTTGCCGGTGTTACCGTCGCAAATTCGAATCATCTTTCTCCGACGACGATCGACGACGTTCTTCCTTCACCGCAGCCGCCGCCGCCGCCGCCGCAACCACTACCACCATCACCGCCGCCGCCACAATCATCATCACCGCCACCACCGCCGCCGCCACCGCCTCTTCCACCACCACCTCAATCGTCCGCGTCTTCCTCTTCGTCCTCCTCTTCTTCTTCGGTTTCTCTCGCTCAACATCAACATCATCTTAATCAACAACATCAACAACATTATCAACAACAACAACAAGAACATCAACAACGCCGTCGACGTCGTTCCGACGAAACCTCTTCTTGGCAGGTTGTCGATGACGAGTACGACGAATACGATGAAGACGAAGAGGACGACGAAGAGGAAAGTATTGCGTGAAAAGGAGACTCCGATTCCATCCAAGGTACGGTCAACCGGTATTCGCCTTTTCAACTGGCACGAACGAAGATCCCCGGACGTACATATGAACTCTGCTCGATTCAATAATCTCCGATTCAATAATCTCGACTCAATAACCTTTTCTATCGAAAATCAGTTATTTTTTTTTTTTTGTTTTTGAGTATTTTTGTCTTTCGTTTTCTTTTCTTTTTTTTTTTTTCACATTCGACGATGGTTAATGAGCTTAAAAAGCACATCGTTCGGCTGAAATGTGTCACGTCGATCACGTAGAGTCTCTTCCCTCTATCCACTTCTTTTATTTCCTCTTCTTCCTTCAGTATATTTTTTTTCGTCCTTGAAAAAAAGTGGACAAACCGTGTACTTTGAAATTGTCTCGAGAGTTTCCTTCCCGTTTTACTTGTCTTCTCACCGAAAACAGAAAGATGACTCGAAGCCGTCCTCGTTCGAGTCGCGACGCGTGGGGTGCGTGGTTGTTGTTGTTGTTGTTGTTCTTGTTGTTGGTGGTGGTAGTGGTGGTGATGGTGGTGGTAGTGGTAGTAGTGGTAGTGGTAGTGGTGGTGGTGGTGGTGGTGGTGGTGGTGGTGGTGTTGCTGCTGCTGCTGCTGCTGCTGCTGCTACTACTGCTGCTGCTACTACTGCTGCTGCTGCTGCTGTTCTTGTGGAATTTTAAAGGCATAATTAATTAACATGGGTGCGTACGTCTAATCGATAAATGTATACATTGCAAATTGCAATTAAATGACGAAAAAGAAAAATAAAAAATAAATAAAACGATGCGAAAGTGTCTCTCCGATATGCGACCGATTAGCTTCGAACATCGATATTCGATAGATTATCTATACATATATCTCTGTATTAGCCGCGCGTAAACATGAAAACGTTATTTATGTTTTCACTCTTTGGATATTATTGCGAGGACAATATTTTCGATTCTATATTTACACGCGAGACGACGGCGAAATATGCTTTGACGCGAGCCTAATAATGAATTTTAGCGGTTAGTCGAACGATGAGAAGAATAATGATAATTTAAAACGAAAGAAAACAAAATGAAAGAAAAAAAATAATAAAAAAAGGGGAAAAAAGCAGAAGAAGGAACAAAAGAAAAAAAAGAAAAAGAAATGAGAAAGAAGACGAAAACGAAGACGAAAAAGAAGATAAAGGAAAAGTAAAAGGAGGAAAACGTTGTTACCACTGCGATTACATTTAACCGATATGCAGACGATGCTTTATAGTTTTTGCGATAGTTTTATTTCGCGCACAATCGTTCCTCGAGCCTCCGTCCACGATCCTGTACTTACTTACGTAGCATGGAGTGGTATACAACGATTCTCTGATAGGCGCTAGAATTAAATAGAAAAACTAAAAAAGACAAAAAAAAATAAACAAACAAAAAAAAAAAAAAAAAAAGAAAAGAAAAGTGAAAAAAAATAAAAAAAAAAAAAAGAAGCGTAGTATCGTAGTGTGCTTTACTTTACAAACGATCGAATTAATAATCGATCGCGATTCGTCTTCTTCGACTCATTTGTTAGACTCCTGCTTCCTTTTTAAAAAAATCGGATTAAATCATTGACATAGTTTATTTTCTATCTTTCTATTTGCAATTCGTTTATCTCGATTTTCAATTTACCATTTGTCGATCTGTCAATGTATGCAAGAATGCGTAGGGATGCGCCAGGTTGAGCGTACGACGACACTTAAACAATTTATTGTTAGTAACAAATCTTTTCGTTGATGTAACATTCGAACGAGATGCGATGTTCGAGAGTATCGATTTACGATTGCTATATTATCAAGCGACAGCAGCAGGTCTTTCGAAATTATTTTGGAATTAGTCATTTTATATACGCATGCATGTGTGTATATACAATAAATACATACATACATACGTATGTACGTACGTAGATACATACATATGTTATTATCATTTGTTGTGTAGAAAAACACGCTCGCTTGTTTTCGGTCGTTGATCTCGATTTCGCGCGCGTCATACTTATCGCCATCGGTCTCTACTACTATTGCTACTACATTGCTACTACTACTACTACTACTATTACTATTACTACTATTACTACTACTACTACTACTTCTACTTCTATTTCTATTTCTACTACTATCGCAATATTTTCAACGTATCGTGGATGATCGTACGGTATACGTTAAATCAATGGTTATTGCTATCGCTATGAGCGATCATTAAATAGAAATCAATGGCGATAAGAAGAAAAAGAAGAAGAATAGTTTCGCTCGGGTTCATTCGCACGAGAATGGATGCATCTTCGAAACGAGTCGACGTACACATAAATGGCTGTCGTAGATATCTATCGAAGAGGCATTATCGTTGTAAAGAAAATAATAGAAAATGAATTGAAATGAAACGAAATGAATTGAATTGTGAATTGAATTGAATTGAATTGAATTGAAATGAAATGAAACGAAATGAAATGAAATGTAATGAAATGAAATGAAATGAAATGAAATGAAATGAAATGAAATGAAATGAAATGAAAAGAAATTCAAAGAAAATAGAAGGAATGAAAAATGAACGCGAGACAATTTTAACGCGAGCAATGTAACACACCTACATATGTATGTATAACATTTCGGTGAGTTTATCGATCATTACATAATCGTTCGGCCGTCGTTCAGAAGCCGTTATCTTTTTAAGCGTGCTGGTAGACGTTATTAAACGTACACGTTGGTACAACGAGATCGTGAATATACGGTGTGTATCGTCCATACCAAATATATATTATAAATCAAAATCGGTCGGAGACACGGAGCAACGGTAAAATTAATTGATAGAAATAAATAAAGAAAAAAAAAAAGAAAACTAAACGAAACGAAACGAAATGAAACGAAGTTAAAAGAAAAGAAAAGCAAAGGAGAAGCGTATAATTATGATAGAATAGATCGGTGAGAATTGTTCGGGCTGCGGTGCTGTTAAATAATGACGAAGAAAAGTTAGAAGAGTGGGGGGGGGTGAAGGTTGGCGGTGATGCCGGCACAGAGAGCGACAAAAATGTGATAATCTGCGAAAATAAATATAAATTAGCGAACGTATACTCGCGATGGACGTATGTATGTAAGTGCGTCCGCTTGTGCGTGCGTCATCACTCTAGCGCACGTGTCCCAAAAATTTTGAGAAAAAAAAAAGAAAAGAAAAGGGAATAATGAATAAACGAATGAATAAAGAAAAAAAAAAAAGTAAAGTGAAAATAAAAATAAAAAATAAAACGAAAAGAAAATGTTAACCAAGAAAATATATAATGATAATATAAAACGTTCTTCGAATGTGACGGACGATGAAAATGACAATGTTTTCGCCCTTGAACGTTTCAAGAATTCTCTTGTGAAAGCGTCGCGCAGGATACGTTCAGTGTTTTTTTGTATGATACATGTAGATAGCCGACAACGTGTAACGCGTATAATGTACAATATTATATGTTACAGAGAGGTATATATAATTAAATGAATAAATATATAAATATATATATATATATATATATAGATATAAAAAAAATAAATGGAATCTTTAATGATACACATTATGTTAGGTGTATACATATTATATATAAAAATGAGAGAGAGAGAGAGAGAGAATGAGAGAGAGAGAGAGAGAGAGAGAGAGAGAGAGAGAATGAGAGAGTGAAAGAACGAATGAAAGAGTGAGAAAGAGAACGGTGTTCGCAATGCACTGTAATCGCGTATTTCAAAAGTAGATACATACTGAATTTCATTTACTGCGCTCGCGATGTTTTCTTTCTTATCTTTGCTTACATTCGCACAGATCTGTTTGAAGAAAATTCGTAATGATCCTTCTTTTCGCTCGTCGGAATAAATGAAAGGACACTTTTGAAATACGCGCTTGGCACATATAAAAATCTGTACATAATAATGACTGGCGCATCGCAAGAGATCACGTACATCCTTATTATTACTATTATTATTATTATTATTATTATTATTATTATTATTATTATTATTATTATTACTATTATCATTACTATTATTATTGTAATTATTATTATTATTATTATTATTATTATTATTATTATTATTATCATTATTATTATTATTATTATTATTATTATTCTTATGATTGCCACAATAATTACTATTATTAGTATTATTATAAGTATCATTGCAATTATATAATTTGATTCTTTTCGTTTGATATAATTTCGCGTCCTAATGTTTCACATAATTATCATCATCATAATCATAATCATTATCATCATTATTATTATCATCATCATCGTCATCATCATCATCATCATCGTCATTATCATCATGTGTCGTCGTTATTAAATCCGAGAGAATTCGGCCGACGGAAGAATCAAGGACGAATCTTGTCGACAGATCTCGAGTGGAGGCATACGAAATTGAAAATCTCGAAAGAACGATGAAATCTCATACACTCTACTACTATGCTTTTTCATTCTTGCTTGCCTCCGCCTTCTTATCATCGCTTTTAAACGACGTTTCTTCCATCGGCCATAATTCGTGCTACTCGATAGATTCTTTCATCTTTTTTTTTCATCCCTTTCTTTTTCACCCTTCTTTTTTTTTTCTTTTTTTTTCCTTTTGTAGTTTCCTCTCGTCTCTTTCGTCGTCGTTTCTTTTTTCTTCTTCTTTTTTTTCTTTTTTTTTCTTTTTTTTTTTTTTTGTTAGTTTTTATCTCCTTCATTTTCATTTCTCTTAAGTACATCCACCAGTATTGGCATTACCGTTTTCACACATACGGCGAATTCACCCGTACGTCACGCAATCTTCGAACTGTCGTTAGTCCGACAACGTGCGATATAAAAGTGTCATTGATAAATAACGGCGAAAGTGAGAAAAAGAAAGAAAGAAAGGACGAAAGAAAGAAAGAAGGGAGAAGAGGAGAAAGAAAAAGAAAAGAAAAGAAAAAAAGAAACGAGAGAAAAAAGGAATTAGAAAAAAAGATGAAAAAAAAAAGGATAAAAGAAAAAAAAAGGAAAAAAGTAATATTATCGCGGTTAAAACGGAACGACGAGAATCGAGGATGTAAGTGTTTCAATAAAGCAACGTATTTCTATGAAATTTCATCTTTTGTCAAAGAATTTTTACACGCCACAATAATTAAACCCTTCTCTTGTTAATACCATATTATATCCTTTCATTTCCTTAATCCTATTATATGTTACAATACCAATATATCTTGATAGAGTACGTATGAATGTTATATATATATATATATTTCACATTGAAAAATGAATTTTCAAAGCTGGTTTAATATAGTAAATATATCAATAATCGTTATCGCGATTAAAGTATGCCGATAGTTTACTAATATAACGTCGATAGTAGATACTAATATGATTTTAAATTCTCGGAATAGAGGTGTTCAACCAGTCACCCAACAATAGAGCCGAATTTTTCTCCTTTGGTTTCAATCAAAAATGATCTTACTTTCGGTGCGGTGATCGAAACGTTATCGTTTTTTATTTTAACAAGAAAAAAAAAAAAAGAAAAAGAAAAAAATATTGTACCAACAAAACTCTAATGAATGCGAATGAAGTCGAGCGCGTTGATACGATTGAAACGACGGTGCACGGTCCAACTTACGATGTTAAAGCATGCCTCAATGTTTTCTCGCGAAGCTTTAGCTAGAAAAGAGATAAAGTGTTTGATTAGCGGCAGAGAAGAAAAAGAGGAAAAAGAAAAGGGGAAAAAAAAAGAAAAGAAAATTTTTCACTTGTACCTATACTCTTTACAATACTCAATTTTATTTTTTTCGTATGCTATCTAAGAGAATTTTTTTCCACATCTCTCAGTGCGACTCGTGTAAACAAAAAGATTGGATACCACTGCTCTGAAGTATATATAATCAATTAATTTTCAGATACGATAAAAATCGAAGACGAATATGTACATATATATATATATATATATATATATATATATATATATATATATATATACATATAGGGAACATATATCGAATGGGTAAGAGTGAGTGAGTATCTATGAAAAACAAGATAAATTATGAGCACGTGTATCACAGGGTGTTTTTGCATCCTGTTGCTCGTTAGTTAGGTGATATCTATTTCGTGAAAATAGCAGAAAAGTGAAAGAGATAGAGAGAGAGAGAGAGAGAGACAGAGAGACAGAGAGAGAGAGAGAGAGAGAGAGAAAATGTCCCAATGGTATGTAACTACATAAGCGCGTAGACAAATCAGAGAGTTCTTATCGTCCTGTTTGAAATGAAAATATTCATGCGCGCGATGCGCAAATGAAGTGGTTGTCTATACGATAATATTTAACTTCCATTCGGATACATTTGTACGAGCACTCGAAGATGTGCTCGTTGACATAGAGCCTTTTGTCGGATAAGTGCCATCAAATATCTTGTGTAAATGACCTAATCTCGCTATTACTCTATACAATCGATAGGAAACGCTCATTAGAAATAGAAACGTTTAGTTATTTCGAAAAAGGGGATGTTCATACGAAAATTTGAATTCATACTTTGACTATCGAGAGAAAGAAAGGAAACAAGAGAGAGAGAGAGAGAGAGAGAGAGAGAGAGGGGAGAGAGAAAAGAAAAGAAAAGAAAAGAGATAAACGATAGCGTCTGCTTTTAAAAAACGTAACGTGTTATCGCGATGACTATGTCGTGTATATATATATATATATATATATGTATGTATATATACTTATACTCATATAAACTCAACGAGGATGAAAGTTTTCGCAATGAAATCAAACAAACAGTTACTAAACTTGATATTCTAGATATAAATCTTCACAAGAGTAAGTATAGCTAGCTGAATATTTCTAAGGACCACCGGGTATACCAATAACGATATTTGCTACTTGATTCAACCGTAAAGTATGAGTCTTAGTTAACAACGGCTGGACAATCTAGGTGCAATCTAGCGTGGATTATTCGGTATGATATACGGTACTAGATATATACCTTCGTACGTACGTAGGTACCTACCTACCTACCTACCTACCTACCTACCTACCTACCTATCTATCTACGTACCTACCGTGAGGTACTACAAAGCTGTGTATCGCACCAATATTTGACTAAATCATGAACAATGTTTGTGTGTGATTGTATACACGTACTCGTGAGGCACGCGCGCGCGCGCGCACGCGATAGAGAGAGCTAGCAAGAGCGCATGTGTGCGCATACTTACGTAGTTGAGCGTGCAGTTTCACGAAGAGAGCGCGTTTCTCTCTCCCTCTCTCTCTCTTTTTCTCTCTTTCTCTTTCTCGTTATATACCATGAGTGAGGAGTGGTGGAAGATCGAAAGGGAAAAGGAGAGAGGTTCATGTTGAGAAAAGAGAGAGAGAGAGAGAGAGAGAGAGAGAGAGAGGGAGGTTGGCCGTATCGACTCGAGTGTTCTCTCTCTCTCTCTCTCTCTCTCTCTCTCGTGCGCGCGCGTGTGCTGAGTGTCGTGTAATCGAGCTACGTGCAACAGTGTGCTGGACCGTACATACCAGTTTGTAATCTCTCTTTAGGTTGTGTGCACGTGCAGCCATAATGCGCCGGAGATATCGCGCGCCAGGTACTATCTCATTGCAGAGCCTTGACGTTCAATGTACGCGCCTAGATGTTGAATAGTAAACGTGTTAGAAATAGAGGAAAAGAAAGGGAGAAAGATAGAGAGAAAGAGGGAGGCAGATTACTTTATATATTTTTTTTCCTTTCGTTAATGTTATAACAATAATAATAATAACAATAATAATAATAATAATAATAGTAATAATAATAATAATAATAATAATAATAATAATAATAATAATAATAATAATATTTAATAATAATAACGATAATAATCATATCATCATAATTATAATCATAATAATCGATAATGCGTCTCTCGTTAGAGGCTTAAGCCTCGTATCATTCGCGTGTCTATATTGTCGATGCATTATCTTTAATATCTATACGTTATTGTTTTTCTCTTTCTCATTCTAACGATATCTTTGTAAAATCATCTGCGGCTTGTGAAATATCTGATTTTATTGGAAAAGGACAAGAAGAATCGAGTCAAAGAAGAGATATCTAGGATAATCTTCTCGTCTACGTGGACCTATTCGTAAAGCCTTAATCTCTTCTTTCGTGAACGATATTTAATCTCCGGACGGGGCGCAATTTCGTCGTCGGAATATCGAAAGA